TAAATGTTATTTGTTAAAGCTCCAAGACAGTACAAAGCTTTGTCTTATTTTCAATTATATATACAATATCTAGAACACAAAAATATCTAAAACTATCTCCCAAAGGAACAAATGACTCCATGGTGGGACAACCACCCATGCTTTATGATCTCAGATGACCACTATGCCAGAAAAATGGCCCAAAAATTGTTTTTAATCTTGTGTTCCACCTAATTCTTACCAAAGAGTGGACATTGAGACCAAACGAATTTTTACGATTTTTAAAGCTAGAGTTGCTTTGTTTTTCAGGATCCCCCCCTCACCATTGTTACTGTTACTATTTCATCCTGATCTAACACCTTTTGAAGATGTATACTGGCCATCCAAAAATCTATGGCAGAATGGTATTATTGATTCAACTGGGGGAAGGGAGAGTGGCAGGAGGCAAAAAAAGCAGGACTAGAAGAGAAGGCCTTTTCATTTGCAGGCCAGCAATCAGAAAGTGAAGAAAACCTGTATTACCCCAAGGACAGACCAGGGGGCGGTGGGGGAGGACAACACGCCACATCTATTATCTCATATCTATTGTACCTAATTCTTCTGTAGTGGTAAACTGAGAAAAAGTCAATGGAAGCCAAGTAGACAAGATGCCTAGAGCTCCATGCAACCCAGACTTTTGCTTCATGTTAAACAGCTTCTGAGGGACTGGATCTGCTATTAACTGGTCATGGATTCTGCTTACCAATGAATGTGGTATTTCATTTTCCAAGGGAGAGTGAAAAACATTCTTCCTTAGGAGCCTATATTTCAGGCCTGGCATTGAATAATTACAGGACGGCTGAAAGCTTCCAAGTAGGGATTTGCCCTCCACTACACAGCTTGGCTCATGTTCTCATTTTGGCTACTTTAAGCTATTGTAAACAGCACTCATTTTCCATTACAAGCTAGGAAATGTGACTGTGCAGCAGTGCTGGGTCCCTGGAGAGTGCCTACTAGGGAGGCCATTTCCTCACATCTCATTTGAGTCTGGGACTTGGTGGTGAGATTGAGTAATCACTGAAACTTCGTATCTTCCTATCCTATTCTGTTCCACTAATTCATAAAGCAGTAGTGACCCACTGGAGGACTAGCAGATCAACCAGATGTTTCCTGAGCAAAGAGAGAGTGCATTTCCCCTCGTACCTCATCTTGTGAGGGGGGGAGGCTGGCAGGGTTCTTCCCTGTCTGACATCATTGGGCGAGGTGGCTTGGGGGAGAATTTCAAAGCAGAGCAGTTTGGCCTAGGAAAGAGCTCAGCTGGCAGCTGTGTGCTGGGATTAACTGACCCAGATAACCATGGAGAAGGAATCAGCAATTTAAGCATATTCATTCTCCAGCAGGAAGTCAACTGCCTCTCTTTCATTTCCTGAATACCTATGGGTGATGGGAGACCTTCCTCAGTAGTTCCACATACACAGCCAGGATCACACTCACCTTACTTCTGCCCACCCCCCCTCCTTATTTTCCCTGAATTTTTGCTTGAGGTTGAAGTGGGAGAGGCTCAATTGATTGTAATGAGTAACAATATTAAACAACATAGAGAAGCTCAAATCCTAAAAAAAAAAGTCTATGATTTTGAACCATCCCCTTGTAGATCACCAGCTTAACGCATTTGAGGTGTTAAGATCCAGTAGAATAAATGTAGAGAAAACTGACATGGATTTGTCAGCTTGCCCATTGAATGTCATGAAAAATAAAACAAATAAGCAAATAGAATGTGTTTGCCATCCCTATGTTTTCTTAAAAGGAAAGGGAGTTTAACTTCATCTGCTCCAACTCACTCAAGGAATTTTCTTCATGCTTGTCATCAAACTAAAACTACTGAAACCTGAAAAGTTCTATATACCTAAGATCTAACCCCTGCCTACTCTTCAAGCTATGCTCCTCCTTTTAATCCCGGTCCAGCCTCTCTCTGTTCCTCAAACACATCATGGTCTTTACATTGCTGTTCCCGTCATGTGGCGTACCCTTCCCCCAGGGCTGTGTACCGCAGTGTCTAGGATAGCGTTTTCTGACATGGCTCCGAGTGGTGCCCTCTCCTCCCTGGTATTCACTGCCTGGTAATGATGCCCTCCTCTGGACGTGAGCTGATCTAGTAATTTGCTTCTCTATTATTATAGCTGTTAGTGCACAAATTTCATGTTCTCTATTCCCTAGTGGAAGAATTCATTCCACCTTTATGTTCTCTGCTGCCTAGCATTGAACTTGTGTATCATATAGAAAACTCACATGGCTACCACCTAGTTGCTCTACCATGGACTTTATACCAAGAGCATCCATAGATTCTGGAGGATTTCAGGTTGAGGTGTGACCTGATAAGATTTATGCATTCTTAACAGCCACTTATTTTTCTCCATGGCTCCCCAATGTCTCCAATGTTCCTCCCAATACAATCATGGGGAACCCTCCAGGGTGTTTTAAACCTTGTTACTTTGAATCCTCTCCACTTCAGGCAATCCGTCTCCTCTTCTCTCGTGAAATGGAGCATCTGTTATGTATATCCAAATAGGCAGACATGCATGCATGCTTATAAATAGATTAGCAAAATCAGTCCTTTATCTGAAGCCCTCCATTTGATTGGTTCTGAACTCTGTGACCCAAACAAAATATTTCTTTCTTCTTAAGTGAAAAAATATTCTTCCTTAGAGCTGGAGATGAATACAGAAAAAGGAACTTTGGAGAAAATGGACCTGCTTACATTTTTCTATGCCTTTCTTTTTTTCTCTCTCACTCCTAACATCACTCTCTCTGACAGGCTGCATGACACAGTCAAGCTTAAGAGGATGTGTTGTCAACCAGTATGGGCCAGGAGAGAGCCCCATTTAAGAATGGGCTACTCTCGGTCTTCCTGAGTGGAGGGGATTCAAAGTAATAAGGAAGCACCTTTGAGGGCTCCGCAGGGTTGCACTGGAAGGACCACTGAAGATGTGACTGACTCTGCTGCCTGAGGGTTTTGTGCGATTGATTCTTCTGTTTGAAACAATTTTCTACCTCCTCCTTCCTCCAGCCAATTCCAGTATGTTCTTCCCTGTCCTTAACCTTGGTTAGGGTCCATTGTTTCAGCAACCTCTATTTGCCCTTTCTGAGCCCTCCCCACCCATCAACAGCTTGTGTCTGCCTCATTAGGTCATAAGATCTTTGAGGGAAGTCACCAAGTCTGTTCCATTCATTCCAGGAGCCACCCTGCCTGTCATCCTGCCAGATGACATGAGCCTTTTGAGAAATATCTATAAGTGATTAAATATCTCCATGCTTTTAAAAATAATTATCTGAGCCAAATGGGTGGAGTTATCAGACATGTGAGAACCCAATGGGCTCTTCCCATTTGTCTTTTCCAAACCCAGCTGGAAAGCAAAGAGGTGAGAAGGGCAGGCATTGTGGATGGGGATCCTGAGGGAGGAATCCCAGTCAGATAGCTAGGCCAAGATTCTTGCTGTGAAACAGGAACACTGTCAAGGGAAGTAAGCCTCTCCTGGAACTCCTCAGTTCCAATGTGGTCATTAACTTTGAGTTGTTATGCAGGGTGAATAATTCACCTGGGAAAAAACTTAGCCTCCACAGTAGGGCTACTTTTGCCATTAAATTTCAACTGAAATCCTGACTAAGCTTGGCTGGACTCAGTCCACATTGTGCCATTTCTGTAACATCCAGTATAACCCATAGTCACACCAGTAAAGCCACTGCTTCTCATGGTAGGACCTTGATATTTTCAAGAAAGGATTGATGGGAACCTAGGGAATCTAGAATCATTTGACTTGAATCAATGGGGAAAGAGCTAAGGTGGACTAACTTGTGGGTTTGTGACATTTGGACAATCTTCTCTAAATCAGTTATTCACTTGGTTATCACTTGAATGACTATTGCATACTATCCTTGTGATAAGGAATCAAAGTGCACAAACTACTTAATTCCAAAAACTTGAATGTCTACTCAGTGATACAGATACAGGAAGATGTAAGCTCAACAATGTGCTAGAGGAATGACAGTATATTTTAACTTCCAAATTCTGAATGATACATTTTGCCACTGTCAGAAGGCATACCCTAAAAAAAGGAGTTGAGCCATTTTTTTGTTTTGTTTTGTTTTTTTGCTTTGCACCTCTGGCACCTGCTATAGCAGGTTCAAAGAACTCAGAGTTTCTCAATTCCTCCACATTTCATATTTCAATGTTGTATAGGACTGTCACTCTAAATAAGCAAGCCAAAAAAGTCATAATTCTTCAAATTATAGCAAATTTGCTACCTTTTTTTCCTAAGTGCCTTACCTAAAAATTTGGTATTGCTAGTACTCTCAGTGTCCTTCACAAATAATTGAATGTTGTTTAAGAAATGGCTCGAGTGACACCATTTCATGTCAATTTTCTGTTAAGACTATAATCTTAATGCTTTCATTTCAAAAAATCTATACTTAAGATTTCAACTTATCTTCTATAACATGAACTATTGAAATTTAGTTGATCTAAAATTAAATTCCAGCTGCATTACTAATGACATTTTAATGATAAATTAATGAGGTATTAGCTTATTTGCATAATTCTATCCATATGCCCATAATGACTAGAACATGGGTAGGTATATGCTAGGAAGAATCTGCATTGTGGGTTAGCACAAGACCTATTAGAAAGAAATGCTGTCTTTTCTGTATTATTATTATTATTCCTTTGCTTGTTATGAATCTGGGAATATACAGGCCTATCTGTTGCTGTTAGCAGCAATTCTACCACCAAATGCAAACCAACTATCAAAGATAAATTGAAGAACACAGCTGAATTTTAATCTGAATTTGAGCCCCTGTATTAATCCCTACCTGAAGCCACCTATACCTAGCCTTGCATGTCAGTGAGCTCAAAGTTCTTTGTGTGTGTGTGTTCAAGTGTATGAGTTAGGTTGGGCATCAGTTGTAAACCAGAGACCTAACTAATTCATTCTTGCAAAAAGAAAAGAGCAGGAAGAAAGCAATACACAAGAAAAGCATAAGTCACTCTGTGTTTATTAATTATGGAACACACCTTTCTTCCCAGAAAGAAATCACACAGTCTGAGGAATTTAACAATTGCCTCCCTTTGGCTTTACATCCTGAATTGCTACATCTGTTCATCAAGGTCTGGTACCATTACACATAGTGATTAAAATTTTTCCCTGAGATCATCGAGGCTGTGCCTTTGGACACAGAGTATCTTTCCCTACCAAAATTCAGGAGAAAACATAGAACAGTATAAGTCCTTTTGGTGGCAGAAGAGGTAGAATTCCTGAGGAAAATTTTACCTGGCTATAAACTATTATTGTCCCTTCAACATCTTCAAAATGTTCTGGAAGGGAAACTGAAGCATCAAGAACAAAGATGCCTGTGCACAGCACAGCACTATGATATGTCTATGACTTTCTTTTGCTCACAGACAGGCACTCTATCATGGTGCTGTGTGTGAAACATCTTCTTAATGCCTCAGTAAAACGCAGAGCTACAGAGGTACAGACAAATTTCCCAAGTGGCGAATGGCAAAGAGGGAAACCTTGATGTGGATGATGGGAAAAATGGTATCACGTCATGTGCTCAGTAGGCCTGCGATGCTTCTCAAGCAGTCCGCTCTCATAGCAGCTGACCCTCCACAGGAGGCACAGGGTAAGACTTACTGGATTCTCACCTCAAACCCCAGCCTATTCAATCCGCAAAGCATAAGGTGAGTGGACAGCAGTCTCCAGTGTCGACTCTGAACCAAGGGAAACTGTCAGCAGCCCTCCTGGGTTGAAGACAGCACATTCTTGAAAGATGTCAGCTGGCCAGGAGTGGTCACTCTTAACATTTTGTTGTCTTTCCTCCACCCACTATGGAATGCTTATGTTCCCTATTGAGGACTTCCCTATTTGAAAATAAGCAAGCAAAGGTTTCCCTAATCTGCCGCTATCCCGTACTATTCAATAGAAGAAGGCAGCCTGGCTGGCGGGGTAGGCACAAATGGGAGAAGAGGCAGGTGGATGAGCCAGGCTTCAGGCAAACACACTTTGGGATACATGCTAGAGGGCCTGCAGGCCTCTGAGAATGGAAATATGAAAAGAAGGCTAAGCATCAAGGGATTGTGGCACTTCCAGTAACATCATTTCATGATGCAAGAGTCCGGATGATTCTCTTTCTTAGGATTTTTTGAGGTAGTTCTGACAGGCTTTTGCTGTGTCTTTCAAAAAGTTTGGGACTCCATTCTGCAAAGGAAAAGAGACTGTCATTTTTATGTCCTCCCAGCAATCACTCCTAGTTTTTTGGGATGGGACAAAAGGTAAACAAAGATGGCCTTGGGCATAAGGAAAAGGCAATAGGGCCCCTGATCTGACTTCAACACAATGTTGTCATAGATAATGAGGAAAGGCAAGACCCCAAGCATAGGTAAGAGTGATCTGCAGAGGTCAGGTGTGGTGGCTCATGCCTATAATCCCAGTTACTCAGGAGGCAGAGATTATGGCTTGTGGCCAGCTCAGCCAAAAAAAAGTTAGCAAGATCTTTTTTTTTTTAAAAAAAAAACCCTAGGTGTGGTAATACACATCCAATCCCAGCTACTCCAGAGATGGAAGTAGGAGGACCAAGGTCTGAGCTTGGACAAAAGTGTGAGACCCTGTCTGAGAAATAAAGTAAAGCAAAAAAAAAAAACAAAAAACAAATAGGCTATGGGCATGACTCAATTGGCAGAGCACCTGACTAGCAAGCCTGAAGCCCTGAGTTCAAACCCCAGTACCACCACATACACAAAAAAGCAGAGAAACAATTATTGTTGAATAACATTCCCTTATATTTTGACTTACGCTAACAAAAAGCAAAGTTCTTTCTAGGACATCATTTCTTGAAAAGAAAAAGAAAACACAGGAATTGGGATTGGGCTAAACTGCTTGATTCTTCCAAAGAAGTGAGAGAAAGGACTTGCTTTGTACAATTAGAAAATGCTAAGAATTTGGAGTCAACACTATTATTTAGTTCAGCATTGTGCAAGATTTTTTCCCAATTCCTGCTGTGTGAAGTAGGGAATATGTACCTCCATTATTAAAGAAGCAAGAAATTCATGGTTCCCCTGAATAAAACAAGAAAGTCAACAGTAGCACCAGGATTTAAAATCACATCTGGGAAGTTTTGCTCTTCTGAGTTTGCTCAGCCCTTTTGTCAGAACTGTGCAAGAAAGCTGAATGGGTCTGTGGTGCTAGGATCATTGGCAGATTCTAGCGATCTGGGCCACCACTGCAGTTCCCTGTCCACATAGAAGAACAAACAACAAAACTGGAGGCTTCCTTCAGGCCTGGACATGTCTGGCTGTCTCCATGCCAGGACTGTCCATAAGCAGATACTAGGTCCCATGGCACTATTGTTTCTACAGGGAGCAGTCTGTTGTCCTGAGGTTCCAGAGAGTGATCCTGGCAGGGTCTGGGGCCACTAGCAAGGAGTGGCTGGCATTCCAAGCTAAGGATTCTTTGTCTTTTGTTCTAGCCTCCATCCTGGGTATTGGCAAGTCCAGCCAACCCGGAGTCACTCAAGCAAGCTCTTCATAAAAGAGCCTCATTACGCCGGGGACAATGCATCTCTTCAGCCTGACAGCTCTGTGGGCTAAGTCAACATTTGTCAAACACACTTCCTCACTCCCACCTCCTGGGATCTCACCTTGGCCGCCCAGTTAATGAGCCAGGACGGAATTTGGCCACCCGGGTTATCGAAGTAATACATGAAAACTAGAGGGGAGAAGAAAGGACAATTCAGAAAGGAGAAAAACACTGGAAAAGTGCAACAAAACCACTGCAAACTTTGTATCTTCAGAAAGCAGAGGAAGGTAGCTATATTCCCAACCTTTCCTCCACTGACTTACCCTGAAGCATATTTATAGATAAGCATTTTTAAAAACATGGTGATAGGCATATTTTGCTGCTATTTATTAAACACCTGGCAAGTGCTAGACATTTGAATATAGCCTCTCATTTAATTATCCTAAAAACTCTAAAGAAACTGGCAAAATTAACCCCATTTTATAAATGATGAAAATGGAGACTCATGAAAGTTAGGTGACCATCAAGTTGACAGACCTAATAAGCATCAAAACTATGGTTCAGATTTTGCCTAAGACACAGGCCACAGTCATTGCAGTACAGCAGGTGGCCATATGCCCTGCTCTCTGCCCACACTGTCCTCCCTCAGGCTGGAACTCAACTCAGAGTGTCTTTGTGCTGATCAGAGCTACCTCCTGCCCTCTTGCAGCTCCCAGGCCCAGCCTAGATATCCACAGGAACAGCCAGAAGTGACTTTCTTTGAATGTTGTTTTGAATGCTCTCATTTCATCTACACAAGGCAAAAGTCAGTAAAGAATGGATTGGTTCGATTGAAACACTCACCTCAGGCTCTAGCCACGTTGGGGGAGGTGTATTGGTCTTCTGCAAGTGCTGTTCCCTGGTCTGCTTTGCCTGGTGTTACCTACTGCCCTCCAGGGTTAAGCTTTGTGCACTTAACACACCTCCTCAGCAGCCTGGCCTTCAGGAGGGGCCCTGCAGGTCATGCTGACCTGTGCCCCAGGCCTTACCTTTGCTCCCCTTCTTGCCATCACTCTCAATTGCCAGGCTCTGTTTGTACTGCTTCACTCGGATCACACCCGACTTCTCAGGAAACTGAGGCATAGAGATGCTCTGTGCCAGGACCACATGAATCTTCCGTCCTTCTACATCCAGGTCTTGCCGCTGCCGGACATAGACATACTGGACGACCAGTCAAGGCATGACATCAATGCCAGCATTTCAGATGGGCAGGAGGGAAGGTGCACAAGCCACACAAGCCAAAGAGTTGGTTCTGTACCTCTGGCTTGGCGTTTGCTCCCTTCTATTGCTTCTGCACTTACCTGCCCTATCCGCCTACCTTGCACAACCTTGTGAGATTGTGAAGTCTCATAGGAGTCTCTTTTGATCACATGATTACCTGCTGTGAATGACTCCCTGATGCTTTTAATTATGCAAGAAAACCATTCCTCTTTTCTCTAAGAAGGAACTAGCAGAGGGCAGAGGACTGGTCACATATTAGCTATTTGATTCTGGGTAAGATATTTGACTTCTCTGAGATTCAATTTCCCTGGCTAGGAAAAGGATTGCTACTGGTCACCAGGTAGGCTTGGCGGGGGCATGAGAGAAGGATGGAGCATCATAGCACTCAATAGCAACAGTGTCCTTCCTCTTTGCTCCTTACCCAAAGCTATAGTTACAAACCTTCAGGCACGAAAGCCATCAAGCGACTTCACAGCTAGTGACCATGGGAAGACCTGTGAATGCCTGAGGATTTAGTAGACTCTGTGTTAACACTGGTTCACCAAAAATAATGAAGCCATGTCATTTCCATAAACATTCAAAGAATGTCTATGGCTCTATTCTAGGGGAGACAAATCCTCAGAAACTTTGTGATATGTATCTCCATCTTACAGATGGCAAAATTGAGGCTCAGAGAGATAAAGAAAGTCGCACAAGATCCCATAGCCCAGTTGAACTGAAATAACCAGCTCTGACTCAGATCTGGCTCCAACACCTGCTTACAATGTCACAGCTGGATGATGAGGCTTAAAACTTTAATGAGTTAAATACATTTTCAAATAAGAGACCCTTGGGTTTCACACTAGAAGGAATTAAAAGCCTAAAATAATCGAAAGGACTCTAAGAACAACACCATTTTATTTGCTAATTACAATAACCACAGCCCCTTGCCACCTCAGTGTCTCTATAGCTCTTGCCATCCCCTGTCCCCACAAAGGATGGTCCAGTGCCCTCAGTCTCTTGGGCACTGATCAGGAAGAGGCGATTCTGCCCTGCCCTGGCTCTCTTCTCTTCCCAGCTTTGTACTTTTTCCTCACAGCAAACATTGTCTTCCTCTCTCTACAACTTGCTCAGCTCATGGATGGACATCATCCCTGACACTCCCCTGGAGGAAAAGCTACCCTAAGACATCCACTAAAATTTGGCACAGTGCCTTCAAACCGTTCACAGTTTCAGGGTTCCATATACCCTGTGACACCAGTTCACTGAGGCTCAGAGAAGTAAAGGGCATTTCTAAGGTCAAAAAGCAAACAAGCTGTACTTGCTCAGACAAGACCTGGAATCTTTTGCTCCAAAACAAATGCTCTTTTCTACTGCTTAATTTGCTGTTCTCAATAATTTAACAACCCTGACTGTGGAGACATATATACATACATAAAAACTAAGGAACTCATTATAGGATTATGTGGCATTAAAAAGCCAAGGAAACAGGATTTCAAGAAGACTCAAGTGTCCACCACTAATAATAACTGGTCAGCATGTCACTGTGAGGTCAAGAGAGGTGAGATGATGCCCTGGTGAGGAGTTCTGCCCTCGCAGACAGCTGAACTTGTAGTCTCCTTTGCCACATACTAGCTGTGCGAACCTGGCAGTGCTCTGAATTTCTCTTTGCCTTAGTTTCCATAACTGGGAAATGGGGATGATGACCTGTACCTTGCACTGTTGTTGGCAGGATTAGCGAAAACTGTGAGAAATCTAAGGGATTAAGTTGCCAGCAATTTATTGAAATATAAACCATGTGTATATAAACTAAAAATCTTTGATACTGTGCCTACAGATAAACTCATAAGAAACACACACACACACACTCACTCACTCACACTCTTTCACTCTCAATTATTCAGGAACAAATGAGACACAATGTCAGAGCTAGAAAAGGTATCAGAGATCCTCTATGTCAGTGGCTTCCAGACATTTTATTCCACATGACCTTTTGTTAAAACATGGTAAGTCAGAGACTCTGCTACTGTGACTGAAGAGGATAGCTGAGGGGTTGAACTCTCACCTGGAAAGCACGAGCTGCCTTTCAGTGACCCCAACTAGAGATGCTCCATGAGGTCAGTCTCAGAACACTTTCAAAGGTCTCCAAAAACCACACAAGAAGCAGCAGCTACAGCAGAAACTTCCATGAGATTCAAAGACAATGTTATCCCCACCTGATGGAAAATCAGCGCAAGCCCCTTCATTGAGAAAAGGCAAAGGGGCACAGAGGATGGACAGAGGAACAGTGTGCTTTATAGAAAGGATACATCCCTGTTAGACATGGGAAAAGGGTACTTCACTTCCCAGTATACCACGGTCTCTCCACTGCATTCCTTTTCATAGAGTTCTATAGGAGAACAAAAGAAGTAAATGCATAATGTGTGAAAATAAACCACTAACTCATAAGGTATAGAACAATTCTTAAAAGGTCTTGTAGACTTATTATCACTAAAAGTTTGTTGCCCAGCGATAGGCTAGAGGGCATAAAAACAGCAAAAATAAAAGAACCCAACAAAACGTGTCCAGTGTACAACATAAACAATATTCTGGGATAGAACGCAATGAAACAACATCAGGTATCAAAAAAATATAGCCTGAGGTGTTTTTAATCAGGGTTACCGCCAGATGTCACTAGAGTCCAATAGTTTTGCTTTTGTGTCCTTTATTTCCCATCAAGATTTGACGTCTCACTGCCAGCCTGAGATTGAAGGGGTCACCAGGTGGCACAGTCAGATAGGAAATGAAGGGTCCATGGAGATTAGTGTCCTCCCTAAACAGCTAGAAAGTGGCTGGCTAACTCTGGCTAACCACATGATTCTTGCTTCTCTCCCATGTTTCTTCACACTGTGCCTCAGCTTCAGTGACCAGATTTCCTTAACATTCATTCTCCCATGTGTGCAAACAGCCAACTCTTGGAGACAGAGAGCATGCATACCTCCATGTCAGGCTGCACAATGGCCTTCCACCTGACCACCTAAAAGAGCCCAGCAAGTAACCAAGAGAATCCCCAGGGGAGGTGCTCAGTGGAGAGATTTAGTTTTTAAAAGAAAATCTATTAGAGACCATATATGGTGGCTCAATCCTGCAATCCTGGCTTCCTGGGAAGTAGAGATTGGTAGGATCACTGATCAAGGCCAGCCTAGGCAAAACCGTCATGAGACCCTTCTTCAATCAATGGCTGGGCACAGTGGTACACATATGTCATCCCAGCTACGGAGGGAAGCACAAATAGGAGGATCGTGGTCCAGGTCAGCTCGGGCATAAAACAAGACCCTATCTCAGAAATAACCAATATAAAAAGGGATGGGGCATTGGCTCAAGTAGTAGAGCACCTGCCTAGCAAATGCTAGGCCCTGAGTTCAAATCCCAGTACTGCCAAAAAAAAAGAAAGAAAGAAAGAAAGAAAAAAATCCTGTTAGAAGCAGACCACAGATTAAGGAGTTCACCAGTGCATTAGTGCCGCAGGAGGCTAAAGATGGCCCCAAAAGGAAGGGAAGAGTAGACTGCTGTGGCTTTTGCACGCTCAGCATCGATTCCCCCTTTTCCTACCTGTATCTCAACTGTCTTCCAGGGTGTCACCTGTCCCGGGCTTCCCTAACACAGAGTTTAGGCAGGTTAAACAGTGATTTCAGGACTAAGATCACGAGCAAGACATGGCCACAGTGATTAACTGAGGGACAGCAAAGCTGGCCAGAGTCTTAGTTTGCACTCTAGCAAATTTAGGACAAAAGTGCTTCTGTAGGGTTCTTGGGTACTCATAATATCCAGGAAGACCAGAGTAAGGTTAAGAACCTCAGGATTGTTCCAGCAAAGCCTGCTGCTGCTTCCACTGGAGCAGACACCACAGCACAAGTGGCTGATGCCACATAGCAGGCATCAGAAGCACTGCAACTGCTCTTTGTAAAGTCAGATGACTTTGCCAACATGAAAAGAAAAGGATTTTGCATGCTGCCTGCTTCCTCACGCTGCTCTTTTACAAACTGAAGCCACGGTGCCTCTCATGGGCAGAGCCTGTCTCACACAACTGCACATGGCTGCTAGGGAGACTGGGACAGAGGATCAGCCTGCGAGAGTACCACAATAACCCCTAACTAGGAAAGGTATTCAAGAACACTAAGTTGCCCAAAACCACGACAAATGTCTACAGGAAATGAACAGGTCCTCCACACTGAGCTGCTGAGAGCCAATTCTGCACTCTGGCTGCCCTCATTAGGAAAGTGGGAGTCTCTTTCCTCTGGGATTATTTATGTGGTTAGAATATAAACCTGGATCATCTGGAGGACAGTTTTGCCAAAAAAAAAAGAATCTGCCTGAGAATCAGGTCAACACAGAGGAAACAGTCCAGAGACGGAGAAAGAAACCTGATAATTTTATTTAATTTCCCAAATGCAGCTGTCCTGGAGGCCAGAAGCACCTGCACTTTTCAATACCGCAAAGCAATGCACTCTTTTCTTTACTTAACTATCTCTAGTTGGCTTTTTCTTACTTGCAGCCAGGAGTCCTAACTAAAGACTTCATGTGCCCATCGCTGGCTCTGGAGAGCTGCCCCACTGTGACTGAGACAGCAGAGGCCACTCCCAGCTCTAAGGGTCAGAAGGCCTCCCCTATTTAGTGCCTTTCATAATTCCATCTCTTCCAGGGTAACCTCACCATGTAGCCTGGTGGCCATGCTTGGTCCTTAGGGATCTGGACCCCTCTTCTGACCTTGGGCACTAGGAGTTCTCCACTCCATAGTAGAAAAGCTGGGACAAGGTTTGCTATTCCACCCAACCCAGCAACGGCAAAGCTACCGTAACTTCTGAACAGCTTGCTCTGTGCTTCCCTGTGCCTACCCATGCTGTTCCCTAGACCTAGACCTTTATGCCATCAAGTTACTCATCTCCTCACTGCCTTGCCTCCTCATGTGTATTGCTGCCTGCCCAAAAAAACCTTTAATACCTTTAATATAACTTTAACTTTCCAAAACAAAACTTGAATACCACCTCCTGCAAGAAAACTTCCATGACCAGCATGGTACACGGGATGACAGCACAACTCAACAGGCAGAATGTGCCCCGTTGAGTGGATCCAAGAGTGTATCAGGAGCAAGTGCAGGAAAGAGCAAGGTATATTTCATCCCCCACATTTAAAAAACTTCTGTGCCAAAATTTAAACACAGGCACAACACAGTAGAAATCACATCTGTTCCTTTCTACTAGAATAAACAAGAATAGCTTTGACTTTCTCATGATTTTTTTCAGTGTGTACCACTCACCTTTAACATACTGGTCCCACTGTTTTCTGTAGTCCAAGTCCATGTAGACGTCTGCAAGTAGAGCTGGTGAGCAATCCTCCAGAACACCAAAGACTTTGTACTCATAAAGTCCAGTTGGCTGTAAAAACAGAACATGTATGTAGGACCAGTCTATCGGTACCAGAGTTTAGAGAAAACTGAGTTCCTCATTACATGAAAAGCAGCTGAGGAAGAGGTTCATGCTGCACTAAACACTGACCTCCTCTGGGCTCTTGGTGACAGAAAGGGTAAAAGCAGGTGGGATCCATAGTCTCATGTATCTTACCTTCAGCTGCAGGCACTGGTGGTGGGAACAGTGCTAGTCAGGCCATTTAAGGAGGATATAAAAGAAGGTTATGTAATAAATGGTACCTTGGTGGTGGGGGTTATATCATCAGGTAGGGAAGGAAGGGCTCTAGGACATCTTGTTCTAAATTTCAGAAGGAGCCAGCCCTGGGAAGATGAGGAAAGTCCTCAGATATCCTTCAAGAGCTTGGGGTCTGGAGAACTCTGTATGGGAGAGTGGTAGGAGCTAAAGTTGGAGACTCTCTGGGGGCTGGACCCCTGGTCTTATAAACCAGGGTAAGGAGTAAGGATTTTATTCTGGTTGCTATGGAAAACTAATGGATGGCTTTAGACAGCAGAACAACCAGATCTGTCTAGGAATACACTTTAGGAATGACCACATCCAACTAACATATTGAAAAGACAATTCCTGCTGCAAGATCATAACAAGGAGATGGATTAACAGGCCAGTATAATGGTGATGGAACAGGGAGGTAACAATGGTGATTTATAGATAGAGTTTGGAAGTTATGCCAATAGGAGTTTCTTACAAACTGGCCACGGGAAAGGGGAAAGAAAAAAATAGGCTAACTGAGAACCTTTGCTAGAACAACAGGGTAGGTAGGAATTTTCTTCTCTAACACAGAGGAAAATGGAAAAGAGGTGATCTCTGGGCTAAGGAGGTAGGGAAAAAGTGCATTTTGGGAGAGTTGAGTTTGAGATGCTAATTAGGCATCTAGTGTTTTTTAGGCAGCTAGACTTCTGGGGAGGGATTATATTTTAAATATTTATGGGGCATAATGAAACCCAACGTATTTTAAAAAGTCAAAGCCAAGACAGATAATTTTTCAATTGCTTCTTTTTGACTGTTTATAAAGACCTAAAAAGGGAAGAAACATCTGCTTCGAATCACACTCGTTTCCTTTGTTCAAAAAAAAGGCCATTTCTAGATTCTAAGCACAGGAGAGTTCCCTTGTTTTCGAGTCGAGCCACATCCCTGTCTGTGAGGGGCTGGTCTTGATTTGGCCCCTTCACACATTTCACTCTATACAACCAAGGATTTACAATTCCTGACCCTCATCTTGCTTAAAGGTTTTATTATTAAGAGTAAAGCCATGGCCCTTAGATTAATTTCAATGCAAAAGAAACAAATAACACAAATGAATAAAAATGAAAGTTTTAGATAGGTTTTGCTTCCATGTGCTCTTGCTAGACATTCACGAACAAATCTATCTCCTTGAATCCCACGCTCTCGTCAAGTCAAAGGATAGACATGGTATCTTTTTAGCTTCAGGGGCCTCCAGCTCAGGTGGAAAAACCCAGGGCAAAGCACATCCCAGTTGAGGAGTCCCAGATGCATGTGAAAGTGCCTGGCAAGAAATGGAAAGGGAACTGAAATTGAACCCGTAGGATCTTGCTGCTGTACAAGCAGGTGGCTTTACACCAAGGTTCTCCAGTGATGGAGACACTGCCTTCTCCTGGCTGCCCCCTGAACACATAAGGGAACATGATGGGGAGTTACACGTGCTTACACATTTACACCACCACACACACATTTTTATCAACAGGAAGAGAGGCAATTTAGCAACTTGTTCAAGAATATAGAGGCCCCATTTTCTACACATGCTGAGCAAAAGGGGTACCTACGTGTTAAGATAGTGATCTCCCCTGCCTTACCTGATTTAACTTTGGATATCTGTATAAATTACAACAAACTGTTTCCTTACACTGGGTCCCTTCCCTTCCTGCATGCAGTTACAGCCCTTTGTGACCCCACTCCTATCTGTATCACGGAAAAGAGGAACAGAAAGCCCTCTAGGAAGAGAAAAATAGAAGGGCCCCAATTTGCGTGAATAGAGAAGAATGAACTATTGTGACGACTTCCTTTAAACACCCCCTTCATGGCAGATCTCAGAAAGGCCAGAACTCCAGAGGAACAATCTCGGTAACACCTTTCCTAGTCTATCAATACAACATTCTTTTCCAGTGCTGAATGGCACACCCCAAATTCCTGGATCAAAGCACTTTCTCACTCATGATCTCTTTCTAAATAGGCTTTCATGAAACATACTCATTATTATATCATTTTTTAAAAATAAAGTGCATTTTTAATAATTATAATAAACAATCCATACTGGTTATAAGAAAATTTGAAAAGAATTTTAGGAAGTGACATGTAACCTCACAATCCACCATGACTACTGATAATATGTGAAAACAGTACTTCTTTAAAGAGATTAAGTACTTCTCTATGGGGCCAAATGGAAATAATATGGTATAAACAGCTAGCATCCTTTTTTACAATTGTATTGGTATATGATAGCTATACAATGGGTCTCATTGTGACATTCCCGTATATGCATTATACCCAGGTTTGGTAGATCTTCTCCATTGTTCTCCCTCATACCCCAGACCCCTTCTTAAAATGACTTCAGCAGGTTTTAATGTTCCATATGCACATCTGTATAAAATGTACATCACCTATGTTCACCCTCCTTTATCCTCATTTACCTTTCTCCTCCCACTAGTGCCCTCCCTCTAACATGACCTGTTTTACTTGCCTGTCCTTCATTGGTTAAGTTTCCGCTCACTGAGTAGTGGGGATTCTGTCTTGGTATTTCACCTGGAAATAAATATATCAGTCTAACTCCCTCCACCACTCTTCCTCACCCTGCTCTGTATTGTTCAGCAGTTTTCAGTGTGGTTTATTTTTAAATTATTTAGGCTAAGGAAAGGTCACATGAAACTTAATTATTCTCCAAAGATATATCTATTTCTAAATATTCTTATGCCAATAAATATTTCCAGAATAATCATAAAACACATGGTCCAAAATTCTAATTTTTTCATTAGGAAAGCTTCCTTGCAGATGAATTTAGGGGCAAGTACATTCATGTTTTAGGGTGCTTTATATATCATTATAACCCTCCAGAAAGTTTATACCAAGTGTGTACCCTCATCAACAGAAAGAAGCAGCTTCCCAGGATTGGGCACCAGTGTTTTACAAACAATTTGATATAGAAAAACACAATTCTTAGCTTTATTTGGGCAAAGTTTATACTATTGATGTGTAAGACCTCTTTAAAATTGGAGATGGAAATACTTTGTGATATTTGCATTAGGTTTGTTTCTAATCTTACAAACATTTCAATAAATGACTCTCAATTAGCTTGCTCAAGAGATTCTTGGCTTTTCCTGAAGTTCTTCCCAAAACTACCTTTGAGAATAGCTCAATTTCCTGACCTAGAGCAAAACTTACTGGACACCTTTCTAATGTGCCACTTCAAACCGTGAAAGGATTACGCTGGTGGTAGAGAATTAACCAATACGTGTAGAACACAATTACCAGAAGAAGCAGAAGATTTGGTGTGGTAGACACCTCCTTTCTTTCTTACTAAGAGAACTCTTACGGAATGTGCACAGCTAGTAACTTTTCTAGTCTCCGATGCAGGTAGAGGTAGCCATGTGACACTCTTTCCCTGTTTTGAATGTGGACACAATGTTTGGAGCTCCCAGAACTACTTTGTGAACAAGAGGCAACACATACAAGCAGGCAGAGTAGAAAGACTCAAGGAGTTGTTGGTGTCACTGATCAGCCAAACCAATACCATCAACTGTAGACCTCTGAGCTATTTTTCAGGTTAAGAAAATGAAACCTTTCTTGTCTAAGTCATTGCTAGTTGTTTTCTATTACTTGCAGGTAAAAGCAATCCTAATTGATACAAACGGTCCTTACTGGCAGTGTTGAATTTTACTTGAAACTTGTGATCTCAGAAAACAAGATTAAGAAATCCTCCCCCCTCCTTTTTGGTCATGAAACATCTTCCTGCAAAGAACCCCCCTTCGCCATATGACTTAAGTAGGACTCACAAATGACAAGCACACCCTCCAAATTCCTTTCTCTGCCTCATAAATGATTAGCTGAGAAACCTGTACTGTACCCATTGATCAATCAGGACAAAATGTTAACAAAACTGGTTGAACTCTTCTCCTTCCTTCAGGTCCTGACCTTTGCCCTACCCTAGGTTTGAGCTGGCAGACACCCGCTCCTGAGCACAGGGGCCTCAGGTTCCGTGTTCTCTGATCTCCAATGATCTCCCATCACACCGCCCTTTCATCCCCCTTCCTGCACACATGCTTCTTCCTAACCTTCTTTACTCCTCTTTATAAAATGAAAATTCATGTGCCTAAGTTTCCAGATGCTTGAAAAACTTGCAAGCAAAGGGCTCTCTCTGCTGAAATAAATTCCTTCCCACACTCCTTGAACTAATCTTTTGGAACAAAAGTCTCATACTAAGCCCAGATTGTTTGTTTCATTTCACATTACTCTAAAGCAGAATGGCAAATCATGCTGGTAAGACTTACGAATATTTACAAAGAAAATGATTATGTATAAATTCATTAACAGTGCAGAAGTACATAAACATTGCTAAAATGCACTGTCAGGGAAGTAAGAGAAGAGATAACAGATACGGTGACAGGCATTAAGATGAGGGGGTTAACGTTTAATTTTGCACAGAGACATATGGAACTGCTCATGCCCTTTTACAGGAAGCACGGTCTCTTTTCGCTGAGTAACTCAGGAAACAAAGTACCAGTTTGCAGGGACCCACCAGGTTCTTTGCCCTGAGAAGAGACAGGGGTAGACTTCTACTTGACTTTGCAGCTCCAAATGTGTGTCTGTTGGTGACAGCAGTCACTGTGATAGTCACAGATTGTTTATTTGAAGGAGTTTTTCAATCATTTTGGCATGACGTGAATGCTTTCAATAATATTAGTAATTGTTTTTCTAGCTGGGTTTTGTTTCCAAGCTAT